AAAATCCATCGAGTCCGAAACCAGTTTTGTTGAATTTATTACGGCTCCAAGACAACCAAGAACTAACCAACAATTTATGGATTGCCATTTACTTCAGTTTTGTTTAAAATATGAAAAACCGGTGTTGTGCGTGCAGTGCTACATACTTTAATAACAGTGGTCATTTGTTTATGGATTATGCCCGTTTTTACTATGGATTTAGCAATGGATTTTATTATTCTGGTGTAGGTATTGATGTATACAGGGTGTTTCATAAATTAGAGGTAAATAATTTAACAGCGTAATATACAGGTGAAAATAAGGTAGAAAGTTCCTATAAACATATCTCCAAAAATTCCTTATAAGGGGGCAACCCCCCGTTGAAGAAAACGTCCTGATAATAGTTTTCTAACGATATTTTAGAAAATATTACCAATAAATACTTCTCTTAAAAATGATATTCTAAATGTGAAAACTAGTTTAAAAACTTTATCCTTCTAACTGGGACGTATATAAATTTAATTGTTTTTAACACCATACTTATATAAAATTCAACCTTTTTAAGTCGTTTTTAAATTATATGTCCAATAAAGATAAAAAAAAACTAGAGCTTTTAAAACATAATAACAATATAGAGAAGATAGTAGTTTTATCTTCTGCAAAGGGTTATGAAAGATACGAGGCTCAAAATGAATGCTGCTAACTAGATAATTTGGATATAATTTTGCTTTAGGAAATCTGTACGCCCACAAGTTTTAAGCCCCTACTATGACCTAAAATATAATAATACATTATTATAAAGAAAATACATTACTGACAATTTTATAATCTCATTGATTTATTATTTGGCTAAACGTTACCAAATACTTTATACTTATCTACAATGTGACTACTTAACCTTCACCTGGCATGCTCATCCTGAGCGACATACCTGGACTCGTAGGGTACGTATGAACCCCAGTGATAAAAATCTTCGTAAAAATTGAAATATTGATTATTTTGTCTCAAAAAAATTCAGAGATCCTCTTTAGATACCACTTTAAACTGTAGAATAGTCAGAGTTGAAAAAGTTCATAAAAAATCTGGAAAACTGGAAAACTTGAAAAAAATCGTTTTTTACAAAAAAAAATTATATTTTTTTCGATAAAAAGGGCTGAAACTTTAGCTGTGTCTTCTTCTGTTACATCACTATAAAATAATAATAAAGGTATTTATTTTGAGAGCGCTATCCCACTGGTCTAGGTATAAAAGTATATCCCTTGACTACCGATAGATGTCGTTACGAGTTCCGATTTCGAAGATTTAGATATCGAAAATCGATGAGAAAGAGCGTGGGGTATGTACGTACCCCACAAGACCAGGTGAAGGTTAAATTAGAATCGTATGGAAAAATTTGTTTTATGAAAAAAAAAGTTATTCTTTATAAAAAGGTCCTGCATCACTTGGAAATCCATAATCATACCTTGAATTTGTAAAATTCAAAGATTTCCAATACAGATTTTAGCATCTTGTTTGTTTTATTTATTGACCAAAGCAATAAACCAAAATCACTTAAAAACAAGTGCAACGATTTAAACTTAAGTATCTTTTTTAATTCTTGTCAACATTAATTCATATTTTGGCTCTATATTGAAAATTGAGAGTGCTTTACTCCTCCAGCATAAACAATCATTTTTGATTTTCCCTGTATGCTACTATTTATTTTACAAATTTGATTTTTGATTCCATATGATACCAATTTAACATGTTGTAATGATGGTGGGTGGGGTTTTTCGGGTTTTCCTCACCTGTAAGTCAAATGGCACCATCAATCATCTTTAAGTCGGCCCGGAGCGCCACGGCAAATAATAATGATAGCCGTCCATTCCCCTACACAAGTCGCTCAGTCGACTTCAGGGGTTGAAATTAACTCGTAAGGGGGTGAATTAGGGAGAGTATTATATTATTATCATCGAAATATGGACAAAATGAATACATGTACATCAGCAGCATAATGTTTTTAATATTCAAACTTATTGTTTTCAAAATTTATAACTAATTTGTTAATTGTAAAGAAAAGTAAATTAAAAATTAAAGTTTTTATTTTTATTATTTCTTACTAGCAATAGAAACAGTATAATAATATATAAATCTCAGGAAATACCCAAGTTTTATTATTATTAAATTGTATTTACCTCGACTCATTATTAGGCACTCTAAAAACTTTATTTTTTCACTAACATTCAACGTTATACTTTGGTAATTTACAAAAAAAAACATTTATCAAAATCAAACAGACTCAATAGTTGACACATAAAACGAAATGTATTCGTATTAGTTGCGAACAAATTGCCAATTAAATATATTTAATCAGCGCCTATTGCTTTATCCCTTTAAATTGGAGTGTAGCGCTATCTCTCTCGATTTCAGTTTCTCGCTTTGACTGTCCTCTCTTGTTATCTCTACTCTTCGGTACCGGTTTCAAAAATATCGTCAGAAAACCATCTTTATGGAGTTCTCTTCAAAGATTTTTGGAGATGTGTCAATAGGAACTTTCTGCCTTATTTTCACCTGTATAATAAGCTGTTAAAATATTTACCTCTAATTTTGGAACACCCTGTATAAGTAAAAACAGTTTCGATAGTTAAATAAAATAATTAATCCAATCGAAAGACCCGTAGGTGTAAATCCAAACACAATACAGGATGGTATTTACCATCATTTGTTTTCCTGGATTATTTTGAAACCGCATTTTAGTTTATTGTAAACATGTGACTATGAAAGTATTAACGTGTCGTTCTAGGGTCCAAAGTCACATCATACTTATTTTAGAAACTTCAAAAAATACTTTTCCAACTGTTTCGGAAATATTGAAAAATTGAAGAAAGATATTGAACTCTTGTAACAATCAGTACACATTTAGTGTTTTTACATTATAAACCGACTCCATACCTAGGATATGGCACAATATAATAATTCTGGCCCACTAGGTCTTCGTACTTGACCTATCTCGACTTTTTTTATATGTTTAGTTTAAAAAAAAACGTTCACCTACAAAAGCTACTCGAAAATGTTTTACAGTATTATTTTAAAAATTGTAAAATACTTATACTTACCTCGTTATCTAAAATTTCGTTCAATAATAAAATGCTGTGCAACAAATAATTACAAAACATTAAAAAATAGTTTGTAAACAAATTTTAAAACAATTAAGTAACCCAAAGCAAAATACCAGCCGTTTAGTTGTATTTAGAACGTAGTGTCGCATACCTGCCGATTTCCTAATTACTGATTATTATTTATAATTCTCTTGTGACGTTTTGTTTTTATTATTAATGGATTATCGTTCTGTATGGGTATCAAAAACATGAAATGTCAAGTAAGTTTATTTTTGGCAATTCAATTTTTTCTTTTTCGTTAAATTTTTATGCATTTCACAACGCCGGATTATATATTCTATCTATAAAAATTCTCCCACTGTTTCCGGTTTGTCCCTTAATTTATTTATACACCACAATATTTTCTTCTGTTTATTATTAGACAGAACTAGTAAAACGCTTAAAAGTTAATAATAAAAAGGCCTTTAAGGTCAATATCATTTATTGATAATTCATTTACAAACTGATCTTTGATTTTTTTCCTATAGCCATTTATTTTTATCTTTTTTCCTCTGTACAGGGTGGCCCGAAATTAGACGGTCATATTTTAACAGCGTAATCTACATCTTAAAATCCTAGTAAAAGTTCATATTAACATAGGTCCGAAAATGTTTCATTTCCGACATACAGGGTGTTACAAGTGAAGTCCTGATGGCACATTTTTGTAAATATTTTCTATAATTTCTTTAGTCACCAGTTTTCCAAAGATGAAAAATAAATAAAATTTCTGATTCCACAGGCCTACTAATTATTGTTTACACTTTCGAATAAGATAACATCAACTTATCATGAAATTTTCAAATGCTTTTCTCTTGAAAATCGTGCGTCCTAGCGAGATGCAACAAAAGTAGCTTTATTATAAAGAAAATATTGGTTTTCCAAATTTTGCAGTCAAAAATGTTAAATACTGTCAACAAAAAACAATTTAACCCTAAGCCCCTCCCCTAATTTACACATCTATGAAGATAATCAAAAACTGGCATTAAATAGACCTTAAAAAGTTTAGCATTTGTACCAAATTTCACTCAGGTATTTTTAAACGTTTAGTAAATATTTACAAAAATGTGTCATCAGTAATACACTTTTAACACCCTATATCTCAGAAACGAAACGTTTTCGGACCTATGTTTATATGAACTTTTACTCCTATTTTAGGATGTAGATTACGATGTTAAAACATGACCGTCTAACTTCGGGACACCCTGTATATATTGTAAGGAATTTATTTTTCTTGGAGGTAAAATTTGTATCAACATTTCCTTTCCCATTTCTAGACTTTGTTAACTAACAAAACAATATCTTTAACTTACAGATGTAGTCATAACCATCCCCCAACCCTCAAATATGGGGGGATAAAAAAAGGAATTTTAATTACCAAACCTATTGCCAAGAAATTATTACAATAAGTAATAAATTTATTGTTATTTTGGCTAATGAAAATAAAAACCTATATTATTATTATTATTTTTATTATATCACTGCTGCAACAACCTTTTGTTTTGATATTATTTTTAAACAATAATTTAATATTTCTAATAAATGTTTTTGGGACAGTGTGTCAATATAAATTTTTCATTATTAACTAATACGCGGATATGTTCATTTATAATATAAATTTATGCATAGAATTATGTAATCTAATTCTGTAGAACAGGTGTTATTTTAAATTCATGTGGGTATTTAGTTTATAGTCTAAGATAAATGAATATAAACTTGCTCATCTAAATTGGGTCATCTAAAACATTACGTAGTGTTTTACCCCATGTTGCTTCATTGTACATACAGCCTTTTCACTGCCTTGTTAACTAAGGCACCCAAATTTATTTCACTCAGTAAAGTGACTTTCTCGAATATTAATTTGTTTTTTTTTTAATATTTTTTTAGATGAGCAATCCAGAAAACGACATAGAAAGCAATATATTTCAAAACAATGACAATCATTTGCCACAAGAAACAGATGAAATAAGCAACATCAAAACGAAACACGTCTTGAACGAACTGTTTGAAACAGAAAAAATATACGTCAACGAGTTGTACACCATATTGAAGGTAACCCCGAAAAAATAATACAAATTACTCTATATATACAAATTTTCACAAAAAACTCACTCTTTAGGGTTACAAGGAGGCTGCTCAACATGAAGCCCTTCAGATTCTTTTACCAGCGGACGCCGAAGACAAATTCAAAGTCATTTTTGGAAATCTGAATGACATTTTTAATTTTCATTCCGATGTGTTTTTGAAAGATTTAGAAAATTGTATTTCGTCACGAGAGTTGGTTGCATTATGCTTTTTACAAAGGGTAAGCCAAAATATTATTAAAACTTAAGCTAGAGCATTATAAACTAAATTATATTTTATTTTATAGAGAGACATGTTCTCCCAGTTGTACAGCTTTTACTGCCTAAACATCGCCAAGTCTGAACAAATAAGAGAATCATCAACGGATCTACAACCGTTTTTTCATACTTGCCAGCAACAGTTGGGCCACAAATTACCTTTAGCTGCTTATCTACTCAAACCAGTGCAGCGCATAACCAAATATCAACTCCTTTTAAAAGACTTACTTAGATATTCCAATGAAGACGACTGTGGTGCGGAACTAAAACAAGCTCTAGACTGTATGCTTGTCGTATTGAAAGGTGTTAATGACAGTATGCACCAAATATCGATCACAGGCTTCCCCCTAGATCTATCACAACAAGGCGAGCTCTTACTGCAAGGTTCATTTTCCGTATGGATAGAAAATAAACGAGACATTCGGCTGAGGCTCAAGCCTATGCATATGCAAAGGCACCTTTTCCTGTACCAAAAAGCTCTGCTCTTCTGCAAACCTATATCCAAATCCATGCATAACAAAGCTACTTATCAGTTCAAACATTACCTACAGATGTCTCAGATCGGTCTGACAGAATCTGTTAGAGGCGACCCTAAAAAGTTCGAGGTATGGTTACAAGCCAGACAAGAAGTTTACACCATTCACGCCAGCAATCTTGAAATTAAGCAAACTTGGGTCAACGAAATCAAAAAGGTCCTCTTTAACCAGCTGGAGGAAATTAAAGGCGAAAAAATTCGACAATATGCAGCTCTATCTCACAAGTAAGTGTTTTTCTAGAAACGAGAAATAGGTGCCAAAATGGTTACCATTTTGTCACTTATTTATCTACTTGAGGTTTGTTCCAATATAATACAAAATCGGTTTATATACTGTAGAGATTCTGTGCATTCTAGAATTGGTGTTCCAACAAATTTCGTACTCAAAACTGTACAAAAACCTAGTGTTCCAACACAACCAAACCTGCATTGGGATTCTCTTCTTTCAGTATAGCACGTGTTGAGACGACTATCTTCGTTCCACAGAATGCGATTCTTATGTAATTATCTCTCTCTCTCTCTATTTGATTCGTTATTGTCAAATCAGTTCCTATGACTGAATAGGATGGAATTGTCAAGACATGTCCAAAACTCCAAAACTAAAGTCAGAATCTAAATAAATCACGAACAAATCTGGAAATTTCGTATTTGTATTTGTTTTGGTAGTATCATAGTCTCAATCCAAAGATTACATATTGTTATCGATCGTAGTTTGGTTTTTATTCACTATCATTATTTGTGGTTTATTGTAATACACATGCACGTTGACGTTGACTTATTAATAATGAGTGACGACCGTGAAAATGACTGAAAATTACTCTAGTGACGACATACTATTAAATATACTTAGATTAAAAATGAAAATAACTAAGTTTAATAAATATAATAACCAAAATTTAAAAATCTTGTAAAGAGTTTTATAACTTTTTTATTTCCCAAATTTAAAATTTGACCTTAAATTTGTTTTGACTTTGATGATGATATTGACAGTATGTATTTGATAAAACAAAAATGTGTTTCAATTAATGAACTGGAGTGGGTAGAATGCCTGTCAATAGGATTGAGGTGCGACTCTATGGGCGCAGCCATTTTTTTTATTTCACTCCGGAGAAATTATAATAATCATTTTCTATTTCACCCCAAACAATCCTGATTGTGAACCTCACAATAATAGTGTGAAAGAGAAAATGGTTATTATAAATACTCTGGAGCGAGATGAACAATCAAAATAGCTGCGGCCATAGAGTTGCATCTAGTTCTATTGACATAACATACACATTGCTATTCTACATCAATTGAGATCATTGGTTTCAACACATCCAAGTTCCGAATTGAGTCCCAACCCTCGACCAGTTGTTGCCAATACGTTGTGGACTGGTTTATGAGCCAAATAACTATAGACCGATAAGCCTTGTATTGTAAACGCCAAATCTAAAAAACCAGCGCAAATGCTCAAGTTCGTTTACTTAAAAATCGTCACGCCCATTCACAATTTGAACCTTGTCCTTGCTTACGGTCAGTAGCGTAACGACTAGATCATTGTTTGTTTCTTGTTTCTGTGTTTTGGTTAAAGTGACTGGTTTTATTTTTGATAATGTCTTCTATTGTGGGTGAAAAAAGCACAGATCTGTTATTAACGGACAAAGTCGTGAAGTAATATACAATGTTTTTAAATATTTTGACGCAACAAAAAAGGAAGGAGTTACTTTAGATGATATCAAACTTCAAACTGCATAAGCAACCATGTAAACACTCTCTGTAGTTTATTTGCAATTAAATTTGCGTAGTTTTCCATATTTTTTTGTATTTTACACACATATCTATGCATTTTATTTTTGATTAATATTTTATATTTAATTTTTTTAAATTTATCTTGTTTCTAAAAATTTTTGTTTCCTAATAAATGTAAATATATATACAAAATAAACTAATTAGTTAAAGTAGGTACTTAAGAGAAATATATTAATAAAATTCCAATAAGATATCATTACCGGGATTATCTCACAGAGAACTAAGAACAGGTAAAGAGATTTAATTAAGCTCAGTTATTAATATCTAATTGATCACTTAAGAGGATATTTGAATTTTTAAATCTATTTATTTCAAGTGTTTCTAAATGGTTTAATTTAATGCCTTTATTTTCAAAATGTTAAACAATTTTTGCATAAACGATTGATTTTCAGATAAAAATATGTTTTGTAGAATTATTTTTGTTTTTAGTATATAACTATTGTAATATGTTAAATAGCTTTTTTTTTTAAAGTACGGCCCGTTTGACCAATATACAATTTTACCACAATTTAATTTATTTGAATAAGGATAATTTCCTGACAGTAACAGAATTTTATATAAATACCGAACGGAAAGCGGTAGAACAGCCTTAACCTAAAGTCGGCTTACTTAAAAATAATGATTTTTTAATTGACTATAAAATTATGTACTAATAATAACACTAAGCAATATGTATGAACAAGTATCATTCACTATTTTCCATTTATTTTATGTCTTAAAATATACGCGCCCCTGGTTTACAACTTTCTAGGTAAGCTACCAATGCTATTCATCGGTAGGCGTGTTCGTAGCATTATAAATGCGCGTCCTTGGTTCTTTAGATTTGGCGTTTACTGTACCAATAGTTTGGTAAAGTAATGGAATCCATAATATGTGATAAGGTAACTGACTTTCTTGAAAACAAACGTGTACTTCCCACCCAACAACATAGATTTATCAGAGGAAGATCTACCTTAACTAATCTCCTGCAGTCTGTCAATGACTGGACAAAAGCCTTCGATGCTGGTCTTCCTACAGATGTTATATACTTGGATTTTTCTAAAGCCTTTGATAGAGTTCCAAAGCACTAACTTCTCAAAAAGATTGAATACCTAGGAATCTGAGGCAACTTAATAGCTTGGGTAACGGACCTCTTAACCTCCAGACAATTTCGCGTAAGAGTTGGTAATAGTTTCTCTCAAACCAAATCCGTTGTCAGTTGAGTGCCTCAAGGATCAGTCCTTGGTTCCCTATTTTTTCCTATTATATACTGCCGATATTTCTGTGCACATAAAAAGCTGTTGCTCCTTCTACGCAGACGATACAAAAATCTACGCTAATCCGATTGCGGACGATCAGTCTCTTCAATCTGATCTAAGTGCGGTATCAAAGTGGAGTTCAGACTGGTTATTACCGCTAAACGTTGATAAATGTGTTGTTCTTTATATCGGTAAAAACAATCCTAAATTAGTATATAATATTAATAATAATTCCATAAAGACAGTATCGTCCCAAAATGATCTCGGCGTTATCATTACTAAAGACTTAACGTATTCAGAGCATATATTATCAGTAAGCAAACAATCAAACTCTCAACTATTCTTATTAAAAAAGACTTTTGGCAATGTTTCTCCCTCATTTACGCAACATATGTGCGTCCTCGCATGGAGTACTGTGGCCCTGTTTGGTGTCCCGTATTAATCTCGGATCAAAAGAGGTTGGAAAATGTGCAGCGACTTGCAACAAGGCTTTCGTATGGTATAAGAAGGCCACCGTATGAACAGCGTCTGTCTACCGCAAACCTGACTCTTTTTAGTGCGCGTCGACTGCGTGGTGATTTAATCGTTTGTTTTCGCGCAATTAGGCACATGTTCGGTGTCGATCTTTCGGATTTATTTGTATTAAATAATGATCTGCGCCTACGTGGGCACATGTTATTAAAAAAGGAAAATTTTAACTCTAGGGTTAGGCAAAATTTTCTTTCAAACCGAGTTTTCTCTGTATGGAACAATTTACCTGATAACGTTGTATGCGCACCTTCAGTTAACTCGTTTAAAAACAAATTTGATTCCTTTGTATATCTGTATAGAGACAATAAATTATAATCACAACAAATTAGTAATGTAACTTAACGTAATTTATAGTCTTTATACTTTTTTTTTAATATCAATTTATAGTTATAGTTTATAGATTAAAAAAAATTGTTTATTTTTAACTAAATTTTTTTGAATAATATGAGCTTTATAGGACTTCGGTTCTCAGCTCATGTCAGTGAATAATAATAATAATAATAATAATAATAATAATGTATAGTTCCAAGATTGTTGTTGTTGGATCAAACTTAAATGTAGTTGGACTTGTTTGTTATAGATCGTTATTTTTTCAGACCTCTTAGGCAGACGACTTCATGGGAGAAACAGAAAAATACAGTTTCAGTTGTACCTATAATAACGCATCATAGAGCAATGAGTTGCGATTCCGATAACTCTTCTCATGGAAATGAAGAACTGTCTAACGATATTGAAACCGGAAATTGGTCTTCTGATTGTAGTAATAGTGATGATGAAGATCATAATTCTCCGGTATGTAAAATATATTTTTTTTATGCTTCGGGTGTTAGTACATAACTTAAAATTGTGAAATCAATAACAGATCCGAGTCCAATTCGATACATTTTTGATGAGATATCAATCTAGAAATGAAGAAGGACTTGTGTTATCGTTTCCATAATATTCTGATTCTAAATTGCTACAGTAAATGGATTACATGTGTATATTTATAGTATAATTTAACTCAATCAACAGTTTTTAACCATCTTTCAAGATCATTACTAACAGGGTTTTCAGAAAAATATAATTGGATAAAAAAGTACAATGCCTATACATTTTTAATTATTTCTGCATGTAAAATGTCGAAATTAGCTTTTGGGCAAATTGGCAATTTTTATAATTTTTGTTGCAATTTTTTAGTTGTTCATATTGTTAAATATGTATATTGTTTTGTTAAATTCAAATATCTTGTTGATACGGAACACAAACTTTATCCAGAATAACATCAATTAACTGCAGGTCTTGTGATATATAACAGCTTTACCAATTTTGTAATATTAGAGTTTCTTCTTTAGACTAAAACATATAACACTTTGTAAGAACTTTCATGTATGATGCACGCTTTAAATTTAATATTTATACTATTCTTTATTTTTGGATACATGGTGTTAGGGATAATACCTGCATACAGCATACAGTAATTAAGCTTGCAAGAAGAAGTAACGAGACTAATAGCGAGTCTAAACTATCACGATTTTTAGAATAATTTGGTAACTTCTTTTCTATCTATATATTAAATTTCCAAGAAGAAGGATAGTAGAGAAATTAGAAAGAATAGCAGTAGAAATAAATGAATTAAGAATCTTAAAGTAAAAAACACACTTAGTAGAAAAACAACTGAAGAGTTTAGTCAAATAATGCCAAATAACAGGTTAAGAAAATGCGTAATTGAGAAGAGAAAGGTAGAAATACTATGAAAATACATGGAAGACATAATAAAGAATTAAGAGCTGACCCCGTAAGGCATGAGATAAAGAAAAATCATGGATATATTATGGACTTGCTCAGAAGTTTAACTGAGCGCGGTGGCTCTGGGGTAACGCATTTGCCTCGCATACGGAAGATCTTGGGTTCGACCCCACTGCCACCTGGCCTGCTATGAGTTTTTTAGAGGTTTTCTCATAGCAATAGGTAAATGCTGGGTCAATAATATCAACAACCATTCCTTCAACCCTATCTCCTCAAACCCGATCCAGTGCGGCTGAAGAGACTAGGAAAGCCTATAGCGGCCTCCTCTCAACTCAGAGAATGAAAAACACATCCTTTACATCAGAAGTTTATATGTTCTTAAACAACGGTTGATTTTAGGACACTCGAGACAGCTTCCTGCTATGTATTACTTGGTATCCCTAACACAACTAAAATTCGTTTAAAAAGAGTTTGTGTTCTGTTCGAAACGATTTTTGTTTGTATTTATGTGGTGTTTATATTTTATGGTAGTATTCATATACTTTCTTGCAGTGGAGGGATATGGTGAAGGGTCATAGTACAATAGTAGATCGCGTCGTTCAATATTTCATTGGCAGTACAACAAATACTACTACATTTTATGTTAAAAATTTCTAATTATACCCTCTTCTTTTATTCATTCTAGTAAGTTGATATTTAATTTTTTTGTTTTACCGTATGTTTTTACCATGTTTCATCGCACTAAAGTCCTAAGTTTACCACCTTTGCATTAAAAGTTCAAAGAACGAGATAATTAAAAATTATTTTTTGAACTTATTTTAATGTAATAATTAAAAAAAAAAGTGTCTACTGATTATAGTATAAAAATCAAATCATCTGGTAAAAACCTTCATTATTCCCAGCGTGAATCAGAGTATTCCACTGCTCGTAGTATTGTTTAAGCAACATTTTTTTGTTTCATATAGCAAAGGTTGTTTAGTAAGATTTCCTTTGGCAACTCTCCAAGTTTCGTCAAACAATGTGAAGTAGTTTTTCTGCGTTCACATTTTAAATCTACCGTCTTAAAAATATTCATCGCTTGTTGATGATATGAGACTTTTCAAGCAATATTTTTCTGTTACCAAATGTTTAAGTACTTTTGACAAGCTGGTTTTTCCAATATGACAGAAATATAATTTAATATTGCGGTCCGAATGACAACTACTTTTTCTTGGTAGGTGTTCAAATTAAAGTGTTGCATTGAATACCGCCTTTTATAAAAAATCGTTTTTCAGACGAAAGTTTTGTAGTTTTTTGGGGAAAACATTTTGGCTAAAATCGGTTTTTTACAGCTAACCATAATATGGCCAACTTTTTTTTCGCGCAGGCAAATTTTCAAGCAGGTGTTACTCAATAAGTAAAAAAAAGTCCAATGAACAAAATTTTTCCTTTGAAGGTTTCTTATTTTTTTATGAACTTTAAGAATATGTTCAAATTTGAAAAAAAAGGCCACCTTGATATGGCTATATTATGGTCGGCTATAAAAAAATTAATTTGGCCAAAATATTTCCCCCAAAAAACTATAAAACTTGCCTGAATTTTTTTTTATAAAATGCATATTTTCGGCGGTATTTAACTGTAACACTTTAATTTGAACACCCGGTATAGATTTCATTTTGGATTCCTTCTGGTACATAATGTTCATGGTTTTCTTTAAAATTTCACGAAGATCAATAGTTCTATCTTGTACCGTTTCTCTGGAGTTAAATAGTAGTAAAATAATTATTCATTTCTGAAATCTTTTAATCCAAAACTGGTAAACTTAGGATGTTTCTACTATATATGTTTATATTTGGTCATGTTAATTTGTGCTGTTAATTGAAACTGTGGTAAAATGTTTGCTAATGTTATGATGTGCTACAGATCCGCGCCTTGGCCAAGACTTAGGGATGCATTTACAGTTTTTGGGGCCCTAGGTGTAACTCGTTATAAAACCCATAATCAATACTTTTTAAAATATATGTTTTAAAGAATGAGCTCACGTTTAACGGTAAATGCAGTCCCGTTAAAACACGAAGAAATATTAAAAGTTATAATAATTAAAATTGAATATGCCAATAAAAACTAATCGAAAAATAATATTCAAACAATGCCAGGGTGCTGTTCTGCTACCGTTGCTTTTGCTCTTTGTTACCACCAAGCTTTTTAGCTTTCTATACTTTCCTATGCTGCTTTATTTGTTTTTACCTATTTTAAATACCATTGTTTATTTTTATTTTTGATAGAAAAAAGCTTAAAAGGAATTAATGCCTTTAAATAGAATTATCAAGCGATCAAATCTTCGTGTAGGAATTCTGTCAAATTGATTTTTAGGCTTTAGGAGTTTAAAAATAAAAATGAACACTTTTAAATGCCAAGAAGCTATCGTAAAATATGCGGTGAGTTCTGAAAATATAATTTAGTAAGTGCACTAAAATGACGTTAGGTCTGTACCCACATCAGGCTTTTATTGAGCAACCGTGGATACAGTGTTTTATATTTTCAGAAATACACTTCATTTTTATGACACCTCTCCACCTATTATGATGCTATGGTCATATTATAAATGAACCGTAAAATTATTATTTTTTGTATATGCCTGGAAATATACATGATGGTGCAAACGAAAGGAATAAATTCATTATTAATGGTGCTCCCCACACTATGCTGTCTAGTGAGAAATTTCTTTCCAAATAGGTATATTGGTACCAGATTTAAATCTTTTACGAAATAACGAACTTTAATTTGCACCATGCTGTATATTTTTCAAAAATATAAATAATAAAAGATCAGCCAAAAAATGCAACTTGCAACATACGAGATAATTCCGAATTTGAAATAAAATTTAATAAACCAACAATAATTGTTTTAGCAATAATATTAATGGTTATTTAATATCAAACTGTAAACTGTGTAAATACCTCTATATGTTTTTTTTACTATCCAACTCCGGTTACAAATATGAATAAAAATTTTGATGTTTCAGAATGGACGGTATGTTGCCCTCGCTGACTATTGTGCTATTGGTAACAGCGAAGTTAACATGAAAGAAGGGGACGTTGTTGAATTGCTTAAAGTTGGCTGTGCAGGATGGTGGTTTGTTAGAATGATTGGTAAGTATACAATAGTCTTAAATTGTGTTGAAAATTTACCTCTTATCATTGGTAATAGTGCTTCGGAAGAACTTCTGGTGCACATTCGCCAGGCAGGTGTTGTTGCAACGAAAATTGCTTGATATTATTACATCTAGATACAATAGTCCTTTTAACAAGAAAAAAGAATGAAAATGGAACTAAAACCTCCAGAACTCCTAAACACAAAACTAAACTTTGCAACAGAATTGAATATCTCACCTTTGACAGCAAGTTAACATGAAATGCACACCTAGAATACAGAGTAAAAAAGCATACATTGTTTATGAACAATGCCGTCGAACCGTGGTGCGCACCTGGGGTCTCTCCCCCAGAGTCATCACGTGGACCCACAAGGCCATCATATATGAGACCTATACTAATATATGGTGCAGTTGTCTGGGTACCGAAAACCCAAACATTTACAGCTACCACCACGGTTCGGCGACATTGTTCATAAGCAATGTATGCTCTTTTAACTATGTTTTCTAAATGCGAGTACCATGTTAACTTGCTGTCAAAGGTGAGACCTAGGTACTTCACCTCTGTTGCAAAGTTTAGTTTTGTATTTAGGAGTTCTGGAGGTTTTAATTCCATTTTCATCCTTCTCCTTGTGAAAAGGACCATTTCTGTCTTCTTAGGATTGATAGACAGTGAATGGTCCTTGCACCACTGTTCTTTTTAGAGCTACTTGCATTCTTTAGCAGAGTATGTTCTCAAAATTCCCTGTTTGCAGAATGACCAGGTCATCTGCATATCCTATTGTGTAGTGACTGTCATTATTGAGGCGGCTGAGGGGGATGTCGAGGACGATATTCCACTGTAGAGGTGATAGCACCCCTCCCTATGGACATCCCCTCGCAACCAAGCCTCTTATATTCACATCTTCTACACTTATGTTTACAGGTCGCTTTGAGAGCATGTTATGTATCCACCCACTAACCATTTGTGGAACATTCCTGTTGGTTAGTGAGTGTATTATCTTTGGGAAGGTGGTTTTATCAAAAGCACCTTCTATGTCTATGAAAACACCCAAAGCGGACTCCTTATTGTCCAGGGATCTTTCTATCTGGTCAGCAACTATATGAAGGGCTGATCAGTAGATCTGCCTGGGGTGTATGCATGTTGGTTTGGGTGTAGTAGGTGTTGTTGTAATCACTACATCCCTTATGTACCTTTCGCATAGCCTTTCCAATGTCTTCATGGAAAACGATGTCAGACTAATTGGTCGGTATGTTTTTGGGACAGTGTAATCCATCCTTCCAGGTTTGGGTATAAATACCACTTTTACCTCTCTCCATTTTTTAGGGATATACCCCAGAGCCAACGATGATCTGAATATACCCACCAGGTGCGGTGTGAGTTCTTCCAGACCCCACTGAAGTAGGGCTGGATAGATACCGTCAGGTCCTGGCGATTCAAAATGGAGAGAAGCTGGATATTGCCCATCTAATTTTTTCATCGTCTACAATGTGTTTGGCAGTTTGCCAATCATAGACAGATGGATTGTATTCTTCCTCTGCCCAGTCGGCCACGTCTGTGATGACCGAGTCAGGGAAGTGTTTGGCAGCAGAAGTTTGATGCTATCTTCGAGGTTGGCAGTTTTTATGCCATCCTCTTTGATTAGCGCACCAATACTTCGGTGTGGATCTTTCCCTTCTATTCGTCCGACATCGGTAGTGACAAACCTAATTAAAAAACATTCCTTTATGAAAGAAGCTGAGACTTGCCAGTGAGCTTTTAAGTTATCCCAAGAACACTACAGCAAGCAGAATATACGCCTGATCCTGTGATTTCCAGACGCTCTTATGTATTAGAAGATTTGTGTTCGATGAGAATTGGCTAACACCGGCTGATATAAGAGAAGCATCTTTTGGGATGTTGTCAACTGCATTAAATCTGTAGGCTAGCTCACGAGCCAGGAGGTACCTATCTACCTAGAAGGATGTTGAATGGCTCTAGTAATGCCTAAGTGCCGTGGGTTCACCCATTATATACACGTTACAGATACACCATTGCGACCCCATGCAATATATTGCGGTTCTAGATCTTTAAAAATCTTGTTAGCAATCTTTTTAGCTTTTTTTAGTATTAAAGATACGTTAATGTTTTTTTTTTTTTTTGTAGGAACAAATACAGAAGGTTGGGCTCCAGCTGCGTATCTAGAAAACCAACATTTTAAAAATTCCCGTAGTAGTAGCAGTAGGAGTCATGATAAGTTGAACCTTTAGTACTCGATGAAAGCCTTCGAGTTTCCGTTGAAAGTGTGTTATATAAAAAAATTCAACGGAAGTAGTCAAAAACCTCCTCGTTTCGTTTATTTTGTACAGTCAGATGGATTTATTTGCGATCAAAACGACTAATTGTTAATTATTTTTTAAAAAGATACATGTTTCATTAATTTATTTTAGACTGCAATGGTCGTATGATAATATTGAGAATTACATCAAACACACTCTATATTCGTGTCTTGTAAAAAACGTTCTTGTCAAATAGTCTAAATTACTTTCTAATTCCTTTAACTATTTGCTGTAGCTTTGTTCGCGGTAAGAATCCTGAACCGAATTATTACTAATAGTAACGATTTCGCAAGCGCATTAGTTAAAAAGCGTTCGCGGAACAAAAAGAACTGAACTATTGGTTCTATTCTGTGTTCGCGGTAAAATTATTATTGATTTTGAACCGTTTGTTTATACTTGAAACGCCGAGATATAATAGGGATTGCGCGCGCAGTAAAAATTCAGAATTGATGATGATTCGGGCATGCGTTCAAAGTATGAATTATTAATTCTGAATCAGTTCAGGATTGTTACCGCGAACGAAGCTATTAACTTTAGCTACATTTAGTAGCTTTACCTACTTCTTGTTCATTAAATTTTTCTACTTCTGGCACATTGTTAACAGACCTAAAAAAATATTTTCGCTGTTTCAAGATTTGGAATCTGCTTAGCCTAATAGCCTTATTAATTTGTGGACAATAACAGTTTTTAAGAATATTTGACAGACGAAATCTAAATTCTTTTTAAAAGAACAATATTATCACATTTTATGTCTACTTATAGAATGTTGAACGAAATTTTTGGTGATATACGGTATTGTACCAGCCTTTGTATCATATTTATTTGAAAAATTAGATAGTTGTAAATATTTTTATAAATTAATTGGCGCAGTCAAAAGTATATATGTTCTCTTAAGAATGTTTTTTAATTCGAATGAAACACGTATTTTCCAAATAATTCTTATCTGAAAAACATATCTTGATTTTCTAATTTTCTAGAAAATAATTTGACCAAAGTTAAATTTTGTTGTTTTGATTTTACAATCGTGCAATGTTAGTTTAGCGTTCGTAGAGTTAAAAACCGCCCTCTCATCAGACGCGTTTTGATATTTAAGTACAAATTATATTTTCCTAAGACATCGTCAATTGCATAAAAAAAATTACTCACCCACTTTGTTTTTCTGCAACCCCTTCCCTACTGTAATTTTTGTAAGAAAAATGTAACGATGATTTACTAGTCAGGGATTTCTCCCGTTATTTGTTTTGCACATAGTATCTTACCAGATTTGGTGCAGTGAGACTTAAATAATAATAAAAAAATATACAAAATTGATTTATGTTTATTTTTATTCTCATTAAATTAGTTTGTAAATGAAGTGTATATAGTGTGTATATTTTTTTAACTAAATGGTGATATTTTTGACAAATTTATTAACGATTACCTATGTATAATTGAAATGTTGAATTTAAAGCCGATTCGCAATTCGTTGACCCGTTTAGAAGAAAACAGTGTTAATACAAATAAAGTACTACTTGTTCTGATATCGTTACTATCGTTACGTTTTCAAAAAAAGTAACAATTTATTTGTTACTTTCCGAAAGTAATGCGTTATTGTAACTTCGTTGCTTTTAAAGTAGAGCCTTACTGCAAAAATAACGAAATCCCAATAAAGCGTTACTTTCGGAAATACATGAAAAAACAGTTCGTGCATTTTTACTCATTTAGATTTAATAGATCAAGAAAGGAAAAATATATTGTTAATTGTAATTCATGCTTTATTTTACTAAATTTTTCAACTATTTAAGAGAAAACGTAACACTTTTTACTTAACAGAATAACATTAAACATAAACAGTGCTTTATCTGTTGGTTTATTATTACAGGGTTATGATTGAAAAGTTATGTTATTTTTAACAGGCACGTTATTTGTGAACAGGTTGTTATTTCTGTGTTTATAAATAATCTATCATGTTACAAATAACACAGATTGTCAATCATAACCCCCTTAGCTGTCGGTCAAATTAAAGTTAAACAGTTCATTATTTTGTTGAAACCCAAAATGTGACAAAACTGATATTGTTTCTTGTTGATAAAAATGTAAAAGTCCAAATAACATTAGGATTATGGGTTTTTATGACACTGTTACAATTATAAGCATAACAACACAAATTAAAATTATGATACTAAAATAAAAAGTACAAACTTCAAAGTAACGCCTGCCTTACTTTAGAGTAACGCGTTACTTTTGTAGTAACGATTTTAAGTTGCTTTGTAAAACTAATGCTGTTACCGTTACTTTTCTCCTATTTTAAAAAGTAACGCGATACCCAGCTCTGCTTGTAACATACTAAAAGCTAATTTGTATTCTCTCTCGTGTCTTTCTCTACCATTCGTCAACAATTTTAAGCTTAAGGTCCTAAAAACCGATTGGTACAGATGCCGCCAAGGAATTGTTTTTAATTCCAAAATAAACGCGATATTTAAGTAAATTCTCTATTTCTCACTGCACCAAGATGGTAGTGGTATAATGCGACAAAGAGCTATTATTAGGCTATAATTGTAGATCAATCAAATATGTGGTGGGTGCGTACATGATTTTTTTTGCAGGAAATAATGTTGTGTCAAAGTACTATTTGTTTGTTAGGTTATTTCCGACTGGTTATGTATTTATTTAGAAGGTATTTGTTATATGTTTTTAGTAATTTATTATATATTTTTTGTATAAATACGAATGGAGTATACAGTCGCAAATCAATCTGATATTTATTATTACCCAAAAAGTATATTTGCAAATTATCATTTAGTATAAAATGTTTAAAAAATAAAGAATATTTCTATTTTGTGTCTTTTTTCACCTGTTTTCAAACTATGTATTATAGTTTACCTAATTCCACAATCCTATTGATTCCGGAATCTTTTACAGAGGCTGAGCAATTGCAAAACGCATGTTATTCCATATAGATCACTTGAACAGTCATTTGTATTGAAATTTCATGATTATGTAAGGTTAAATTTAAATTGTAGAAGAAAAAACTAAGTCATCGACGGAGTTCAACATGTGCAACTTAATAAGAAATTTCGAAGGCGGTTAAAAACAAACATCCAAACTGTTTCGGAGGCATAGATGTCTGACGTGCTATATGCTATATTAATTTAGAGACAATTTTGCGGTTAAGAGACACACCTTCGTATTAGCAGTTATTTAATTTCTGTTATGACATCCAGGTTATAAATCGCCATACATTACCGTTTTGATGATCGTGGGTGGGGTTTTCCTCACCTGTAAGTTAAATGACACCATCAATCATCTTTTAAGTCGCACCCGAGCGCCACGGCAAATAATCATAGCCGTCCCTTCCAAATACAAACTCAGTCGGCTTCAGGGGTTGAAATTCACTGGGAGTGAAAGTATTGTCATGTTTTTAATATGGGAACCCTAAAGGCCAAATCAATGAAGATGAGCTATGCGTTCACCTCATTGAATATAAGGTCAAAAAAGAGGCTGAAGCGGGGCCCAGTGAAGACTCCTTGGTAAAGGACCCTCTTCCCCCCAATTCAAGCCAACAGTGAAGGACGTCGAGCCAGAAAATATGGCAACCGATGACCTCCAGCATGGAAACTCCAAGGAGCCACAAGAGATCACCCCCTCCCCACTTTCGGAGGAAGGGATGGTCGAATAAAAAAAACCACCTTGCTGCCCAATTTTTAACGGAAGACCGGGAAGCAATGAAAGAGGTAACTTGCAGCACAAAAGGGTGGCTCGGCAACATTATGCCGCCGCCTTGATGAGCTGCAAGATACAATAGCACTTATCCAGGAACCCTGGATAATAAAAACCAAAATTTTAGGTCTTAAAAATCTGAATGGTTCAATTTTTAGCTTGACCAACAACTTAGGACAGTCATTTACATTCCTAGGAAATACAAAGCCTACTCAATGGCGCACCTCCGATTTAACTGCGGTTAGGATGGAATACGCCATCAAAAGGGAAAAGAAAACGTTAATCCTAGCATCTGCATACCTCCCTTCCGATGCAACCACGCCACCATCCAGCAAAGAAATGAAGGATCTAATTTCATACTGCCTGGAACAGAAGTTTGAGCTGGCAATAGGTTGCGACTCAAACGCTCATCACTTCAGTTGGGGCAGTAAGGATAATAACGCTAGAGGTAAGTCACTTATTTATGATTATATAATTACCAAAAATCTTTGCATTTTAAATAAAGGTACTACACCAACATTTTTAAACTCTCGCAGTCAAACACTAATAGATATCACTTTATCCACAACTGGTATCTATAAATCAATTCTAAACTGGCAAGTGTCTGATAACATTTCGATGTCAGACCACCGCTGGTTAACATTCAAAATAAACTTGATGTTGCCGACCTCCACGCTATCTCGGAACCCTAGGAAGACGGACAGGGCAATCTATGCCCACCTTCTCCAAGAGGCTCTGAGAGAGATGAAGGCCGAAATACCAAACAATAACAATGCTTTGGATAAGTACTCAAACACTATCCAAAGCACAATAAACAATGCCTATAAGAAATCCTGTCTCCTGAGGCTGGTCCAACACGATCAGACGACTACCGCATGGTGGTGTCACGAGTTGGATCACAAGGAAAAGGATGAAAATGGAACTCCTAAATACAAAACTAAACTTTGCAACAGAGGTGAAGTACCTAGGTCTCACCTTTGACAGCAAGTTAACATGGTACTCGCATTTAGAAAACAGAGTTAAAAGAGCATACATTGCTTATGAACAATGCCGCTATACCGTGGGACGCACCTGGGGTTTCTCCCCCAGAGTCGTCGCATGGACTTACACGGCTATCATAAGACCTATACTAATACACGGTGCAGTTGTCTGGGTACCGAAAACCCAAAAATGAACAGCTATCCGTAAACTAGAACAAATTCAAAGAACAGCATGTCTCAACATAACAGGAG